TCTCCCTGTTTAAAATCAGCTTGATTATCTTAGCAGTTTTCATGTACATATCTCCCTCATTTTCTGTTATTCTTTTACTTATATTTTATCCAGTCTGGACAATTTCTTGTTGCCACATTCTACCCACACTTGCTGAACACGCTTCACCATTTGGAATATTCTTCTCTCTATCTTGATCTTTTTATTCTACTATATATAGTAAGGCCCATCTCAAGTACTATTATTTCCATGAAATTTGCTCTTCTACTATCAAATATAATCTTTCTTTGCATTCTATCATGGCACTTGGACCTTTTATTCTTGAACTTAACCACATTTTCCCTTATTTCATTATGATGTTCTTCATCTCTTAGATTGTAATTTATACAAAGAGAGATTGTTAGGTGTTTTTGTAGTTTAGAGTTCTATTAGCAATTAGCATTTTAGGGTCAGTACTTTATCACTACTCATTAGAGTGACAATTTCAAACACTTTGCAAAATTTCTATTCCACTTCAATCTTTAAACATTTAGCAATTCACTAGACGTTAAGATGTTAACACACCTTTTTGTCTACTACTTTCAAATCTTATGATTTCTTTTTTGTTTATTTTATAAAAGTTAACTTGGAAATTTCTTATGTTTCTGTTCTACATCTTTGGTTTAATACAGCATAGATTCTGTATTTTCTCTGGCTGGAATGCCTTGGGTATTTGAAATAACTAAACTCTGAGTCTTGATTATGTCTCATATACTTTTAAAACATTGTGGTATATTTAAAAGGGAAGAGATTTTTCTCTGGCATTTAAGTTAGTAACACCAGTAATCAGGGTGTTAAAAAAAAAAAAGAATCTAGGAACTGGCCACTAAAGATAACTAGTTTATTATTCTGCTAAGATTTAATTATAGTTTGGGGGCAGTATGTAATATAAAGTATATAGCAAAGGATATAATTTTGCTTTACATTCAGCATACTCTGAAGGCAAACTGCTCAAAGTAAGAATAGATTTAGCAAGAAATTCTGGACAGATTTATTTTATATTCACAAAATCCTAGTAAGATATTTTTGGTATTTTAGCAGTTCACTGCTTTTACTTATCTTACAGATTGAGCATCCCAAATCTAGAAATTTGAAATGCTACAAAATCTGAAATGGTACTTAAAAATTTCAGGTTTTAGTTTTTCAGGTTAGGGATGCCTAATTTTCAGATTACATAAATGCAAATGTTTTTCAAAATTTCAGTCTGAAAGTCTTCTGGTCTTAAGTACTTTGAGTAAGGGATATTCAACCTATACCATTTTCTTTCACTGTTTCCTCTGTACACCAAAGTTGACTCTTCCTTACTCCTTGTTTACTTTTTTTTTTTTTTTTGGTATCAGCACAGCGAATACACAAGCTCTAAAATCTTTTAAGTCACCTTTAGTCTTGATATACAGATTTATTTTCAAAAGTTGTGTTTATTTTTCCTTTAAAATGTCTCTTTGGTGTGTTTTTTCCTCTTTTCACTTCTACAAACCCAGTCTAAGCT